GTTGGAGTGCTTCAGCTTATAAAGGAGGCTGGTGGAACGGTCATTTTTTTGTAGCGGTTACAAAACCGCTACAAATTTGTAGCGGTTTTAACGGAAATTTTCATTTTCCAGCGGTTATTAACCGCTAGAAATTCTAAATATCGGTTACAAACCGATAGAAATTTCTAGCGGTTTAACGGGAATTTTGTCTCCATCGGTTTTGAATTTTCTAGCGGTTATAAAACCGCTAGAAAATTAGGTAAAATTTGCTAATTTTCTAGCGGTTCCTGTGAACCGCTAGAAAATAAGCAAATTTTCTAGCGGTTCACAATAAAACCGCTAGAAAATACAGTTAAAATCCAGTTGAATTTTCTAACGGTTTTTGAACCGCTACAAACGATATTATTTTTAAATATTAAATAGAAATACCGCACAATAAATTAATAACATTACGAAAATAAATATTTATTAAATTAATAAATGATTATAGAATTATTTTGATTAATTAACATGTTTAACGTGTTTAATAAATTGTAATGTTGATGTTGTAATAAATAAATAAATATTTCAATATTAATTAGTACTTGACATAAATAAAATTATAGAAATAAATCAATAAAGTAAACAAATAAATATAAAATTTAAATAAATATCTAAATAGTATATAAAACCGTAAAATCAAGATTCTAATAAAATCCCATACAATGAAAGCAAATCATGGGTGGGGGCAGAAGCAGCATCATCGTGATCATCCTCTGCTGAATCCTCCGGCTGGGGGTGGGCAGGCCGCTCAACCTGCTGGGACTGGACTGGCGGATGGGGGGGGTAGGGGCGGGACTGGTGGCATGTGTAGGTCGGGGATGTCAGGAACCGAGATGTTTGGAGCTATACTGACCACCACATGACGCAGAGCCGTAGCAGCTGCCAAGAGCTGGTCAAGCTGCGTCTGGAGCTGACGATCACGCTCCTGGAACTGACGATCACGCTCCACGATCCTGGCCTCGAACTCTTGTCTGAGCTCCTCTCGCAATTCCTCTGAGGATGAGGAACCCGGCCGCTTCGCACTCGCATGAGAGCTCCCAGCAGTATATGAAGGGCCAGCGCCACTTGAGCGGGGCAACCTAGTCGGTGTAGGTCCAAGTCCAAGCCCGCTAACTCGACCAGGGTGCTGCGGCCGGCCACGACCCGCTAAAAGTGAGGCGGTGGGATCCAAGGCAGACCCCTGAGACTCACGCAACTCGGAATCGACCTGAGTCATCCGTGCCTACCAAAATTAATATAAAGAAGTTAATTATAATATAATGATATCTACACTGTGATATTATATTAATATTTAATTTATTACTTACCGCTATCTCCTCAACCTCATCCGACGCACGCCCGTCTCGGGGTCTATACACCATCGGCCACATCTCGCCATAAGTGGGCGTGTATCCCCGCTCCTGCTGCGTCTTTTCCCTCTGTAAATGAAATCAAAGAAATAATTAGTTACAAATTAAATACATATACATATTTAATAAATTTATTTCAAGTACTCACAATCTCGTCATAAGTGATCGCAAAGCTCCTGGATCCAGCCCTATGACGTATCGTCTGATGCCTGACGCTCCCAGCATTTCTCCTAGAAAGAGCCTGAAGCAAAATGTAAAAAAATTAAATTAAATGAGTCAAGTCGGATAAAAAATAAAGAAATTATAATTAATACAATATTATCATACCATCTGGTCAGCCGTCATCCTAAAATAGACGTAACTGGACCAGTCTTGGTCCGGGACTCCACCAGGTACATCTGCCAGTATCTCCTGGAGGGGCCTCGTCCCGTCACCTTTCTTCTCCCTCCACAGGTCGGCCCTCCTGTTCTTCCATGCCATCCCAAGCCTCTTGATCGTGTCAGCCCTCAACTCCTCCCCCAGAATAAATTTACTCTATGATTAAAATAATAAATTAACTAAATAACAAATTATAAACAAATAATTAAGCAATTTCAATAATAAAAAAAAATAATTAGTTTTTAACTAATTTAAGAATATTATAAATAAAATATAAATTAATCAAAAACAAATAATAATTAAACAATTAAGTAATTTAAATGAAAAAATATTTTTACTCAACTAAATTTAAAATTATTATAAGTAATAAATTAATGAAATCAATAACAAATTATTTTCATTTAACTACTTTTAAATAATTTAAATAAAAAATATATATTCATTTAACTACTTTTAAAAATATTATAAATAACAAACAAATTAAATAAATAAAAAATTATAATCAAACAATTAAATTATTTGAAAACAAAATATATAATCATTTATTTAAATTAAAAAAAATTATAAATAACAATTTTATATTACCTTCATCATTTCCCACCTTGCTGCTTCTTGTCTGAGGTGATCTTCTTCCAGTCCTGCACGTAGATGGGGAACAGCGTCCACTGCTGACCAAGGAGGCGCACGTACTTGTTGTACAACTGGCCACCTTTCTTCGTCGGTTGGCCCAACTCATTGAGCGGCACAACCACTCGTCCGCTCGTCATCATAGACAGCTCTCTGGCTGTCAGCCTCCGATAGGACCTGTTCCCCTCAGTGTCTGCAAAATTTAATTAAGAAATAAATTATATATCAATAAATTAATACAATTTCTATATAAATTAAATACTGATCAAAACTTTAAAAAGTTAAATAAATACTTACCGACAAATTCCACCTCATAACCAGCCTGACGTCTCGGAGCAGGACGCTGCGCAGCCTGGGGATACTCATTCCCCTGATCCTGCTCCTCCTCCTCCTCCTCGTCAGCAGCATCAGCATCAGCATGGGGTTGCTCATCCCCAGTAAAATGAGCCTCCTCAGTCCGCTCAACATCATCCTGCTCCATAAAACTGAGGATATCCTCCTCGCTGAGATCGTAGTCATGAATGCTGGGGAATGGCTCACCAGCATCATGATGAACCTCACTGGGTCCAGCTCTCTCAGGATCAACTGGGTCTTTCCCGTGTCGACGAGTCATCCTAATAACAACAAATAGTAATTATTTATAAATGAAATAAAAAGAAAAATTATTTATAAGCTACAACATAATAAAATAAATAAAATAAAACATAAAATAAAAATTATTTATCAATAAAATAAGGATCTGCAACTGAATCAGAACTCGAATATGTTTGTGGAGAAAATTCAGCAGAGCTTCGCTTCCAGAACGATTGAAGAAGTGAGAGTGTGGGGGGGTATATATAGACCGAGAATTTCTAGCGGTTAGGCACAAAACCGCTAGAAATTTCTAGCGGTTTTGGGCCGAACCGCTAGAAATTCCCAACGGTCACATGTGCCTCGGGAATTGGCTAGCGGTTCGGTCCAAACCGCTAGCAATTTCTAGCGGTTGCCCAGAACCGCTAGAAATTCTGGCGGTTCGGTCTAGAACCGCTAGAAATTTCTAGCGGTTCGGTCCACAAACGCTAAAAATTTCTAGCGGTTGTGGACCGAACCGCTAGAAATTTCTAAACTCCTCGGGGAATGAAAAATATTTCTAGCACTTCATGCATCAACCGCTAGAATTTTTCGGTGTCTAGCGGTTTATTAGCCTGAACCGCTAGAAAGTAAACGCTACAAATCTGGCGCCAAGTTCCCGCCAAAGCCCGGGGAATTTTCTAGCTCTAATTTTCTAGCGGTTAGGTGGTAACCGCTAGAAATGTGCGGGCAATGGTCAAACCGTCTGTATTTTGCAGCGGTTTTTATAGGAACCGCTAGGAATATTTGGAATTTCTAGCGGTTTTGTTGAACCGCTAGAAATGTTCCGCTGCTACTTCAACATTTTCTTGTAGTGAATCCAATATTTCTCGTTCTAAATTTTAGACACTTTTTTTCCCCCCAAGTGTCAACTAGACACCTTTTGAATGTATCTTATAAATGGGATTATACTTGCCCCAAAAACCATATCCTACTCCTCTGATCATCTTTATAAGGAGGAAAGAGAATGTTTTTTTTATATCCTTTTTATAAATCACCTCATTTAACTTTTGGCATGGATGTACTATTTTATCAATTTATTACAATATAGATAGTTATTTTTTTTCAAAAAACGATATCTATATTACATAAGAATAAAGTTAGAAAGTTACTATATTTTAATTGAGAGTTAATACAATTTGAGATTTTTCTTAATCTCTATGAAATAAACTTAAATACCTTATAAATAGGACTAGAGGAGTATATACGAGCTGGAGAGAGTATTTTCTATGACATAATGTTTTCCAGAATGTGACTTATGATCAAAACCAAGGGAGTGATACTTCTTTTTTTTTTTAACTTAAAATGCCCCTAAGAGTTCAAATAATTATAATAATGGGGATTAGATATTAAAATGGCCAGCTATAATTAAAGAAGAGTAAATTTGAAAATAACTTCAAATATCAACTACTCCCTCCGTTCCTTATTATAAGAGATAAATAATCAAATTACGTTGCTAAAAAAAATAGTTAAAATTAGTTGAGAACAATTAATGTGTAAAAAGTATAATATTTTTTTCAACAATGCCCCCATTAATAAGGAGAGAGAGTATGAGAGAGAACAATTAAATTATTAAAAGAAAAAGAAGTGAGAGGGAGAGAGAGAGTATGAGTTGGAGAAAAAATAAATAAAGGAAAAATAGGAAATCAATACAAAAAAATAGAGACAACTTTTAAGTGTCTCTTATATATGGGAACATGCCATAAGCATCAAATGTCTCTTATAATAAGAAACGGAAGGAGTAACCGACAATATTTTTTGGTATGAGTCAATTCGTTAAAGATGCTTCATAATAGTAAACTGAGGGAGTTGTGCCTTGGGGAGAATTAATTTACCAATGCTCACATCCAATTTAATAATACCAAATTTCATCTAGTTATATTAAAAAATGTAAATAACAAAGGGAGTAATTTTATTTATTTATACGTAAAGTAGATAAATTTTCTCTTGTAATATGAAGGAAAAAAATGTAGAGGGGTAAGATTGTCTTTAAGAATAAAGCAGATGACTTAGCAATAGAAGTAAAGGAGCAAAATAGATAGACATGAACAAATGTAGCTTACACAGAAACAAATAAATAGATAAGATACATGAAAAGCAAGGTTATCTACTTCAATGAACATGTCAGATGTGACGAGCATTTAACTCATGGACGTTCTCATTTTGTCTTCTTATTACCGACTCTTCTGTTTATAATATATTTAAATTAATGATAACCACTTCAGAAACTGAGATATTATACTATAATAAGGTTAATTAAGATTAAGATTAATTAATTGTTCAATATTGTCATCTCTTCGACGAGTTCAATATTATAATGTCTTGAAACTTCATCTCCTGCAAGTTTTTCTGTGTCATCTGTGTTGTTTTTTCTCTTTTTGTTCTCTTTCTTGTTCATAGGATTCATTTTACTAAGAATGGAATTTGTAGAGATGCATTGGATTGGTGTACGGCCTTTGAAGCTGAATGTTGGGGGGTGGCTGAGGGCTTGAAGGTGGCAAGAGATCTAAAAGGAGAGGAGGTTGTAGGGGAGAGGCCTGCTGACTGTGTAAGAATGGTAAGGGAGAACGTAGCTCTTTGTAGACAATTTAAAGTATCTCTAAAACGCAGATCTAGTAATCAGTATCTCTAACGTTTGTTGGTTTAGTGAAATCCAGCTAATTAGTTTGAGGACCTGGTCCTGGAGTTGGCCCTGGCCTTCCAGAATGACGCCTTGCTAGTAGCTGCACAAAAATGCAATAACCACATCAATACACGCACATAAATCATCGTATCAATGTAACAATCAACATATCAATATACTACTTCAGATTCAACTTGCAAAGATATTTATAGATCATGTACTGATAATATATATACATATGTAATATTTTTTTCCCCTATTTTTTTACTTTTCACTGAATTAAAAAAAAAATTCTCACCAGCTGGCTATATCCTGTACATACTATAAAATTTAAGTTCTCATAGTTTGCCAAAAAAAAAATTGTAACACGGGTGAAATTTGACTGTTCAATCAATCCAAATCTATTCAGAACTTTTTTCCCCCCGCATAAGAAGTGTAGAACATCCAAAATTAATGAACATAGAACATCCGAAATTAATGACCAATCAGAATATTAACTCAAATAAATCACTTCTTATTAAAAAAAATTAGAAACTTTATTAGTGGATGAAGCTCCAAAGCTTAAAGCTTAAGAGTGTTTGATGATGATACATAAATAAAAATTAGTACTAGAAGCTACTTCATCGGTTCTCTATTATAAAGCATTTTCAATCACCTCACTTAAATCAAGTAAGAGAGGTTAAATCATTAAATATGTCTTTAAAACTACAAAATTTATCAACTCATCCGAGGAGTAATGTGGAAACTGATTCAGAATTAAATTCTTCTTTTAGTAACTTGGAACAGGAACATAATAAAATCAAAAAATGTTAATTAATGCTCCTTTAAAATCAACAATAGTGTGGGTTTTTCGCAGAGATCTTAACACTGAGCTGGAATATATATTTACACACACCTGGTCTGTTGTTGTAGCACTTGGATCTGGAGCTGGTTGTGGAGGGGAAGAAGGAACGACGTCGTCTTGTTTACTTGCTGCTGCATGATTGTTGCATCCACCGGAGTAATCTGCACCGCATGAGAGAGCATTGAGGCTCCTTGGATCGTCGTTGTTATGGACTGAGATCTCATGTAACCCTAGACACTTCAACAGAGACCTGAGAAGTTGTTGAAGGAAATGGCTTGGGTGGTGAATATAGAAAATGGCTTTCTTCGGCGGCGGCTCTGAAACCTTCGGTTTTTGTTCTTCTTGTGGTGGAGTCGGTGACCTCTCCATTAGAGATTCTTGTTATTGAGCCTTCTTCTTCTTCTGGGTCTTGTCTATGTCCGAGTGCTTTAATAAGCGCACCTAAATGCTTTGTTTGTTGTGAGCTCCCACGCCTTTAATTGATTCATGTTTCATAGCGGACAGGTGGACAATACTACCCTTTGACCAAATTTATTTATTGATTACTCTGTACTAACACGGCATTAACTAGTTTCTGCAATTTCTTTTTCTGGTTTAAAGAAAGCAAAAGGAAAGAAATCTCTCAAACTGATGGGTGCTTGAAATTAAAGAAAAGGGGGAGTGAGAAGGAGAAGGTCAATTTATATAAATGATAACTTTAGCATGACATAGTATATAACTTCAAAACTATCACCCAAAAGCCATAAAAAAAAGTGCCTGGTATTAATTGAGCCACGGGCTTCCACCCATCTATTGATTATTATTTAACACGTTGTTCTGAAAATCCTATATTTCTTGTTCTAAATTTTAGACACCTTTTAAATATATCTTATAAATGGGATTATGCTTGCCTCAAAAACCATATCATATTTCTCTAGTCTTATTTATAAAATAGAGGGATAATATTCTTCTTGATCCTTTTTATAAATAACCTTATTTACTTTTTAGCATAAATGTACTATTTTGTTCATTTATTACACCATAGATAGTTTTTTTTTTAAAAAAAGTATGTATACATTAACTAAGAGTAAAGTTAGAAAGTTACTATATTTATGGAGAATTAATGTAATTTAAGGTTTCTTTTATCAGTCTGTATGAAATTCGTTAGAAACGCATTATAAATAAGACTAGAGGAGTATATATGAGACTAGAGAGAGCATTTTTTACGACAAATGATGTTTTTCAAAATGTGACTTATGATCAAAACCAAGGGAGTAATACCTTTTTTTATACTTAAAATGCCCCTAAGAGTTCAAATAATTATAATGATGGGTATTAGACATTAAAATGGCCAGCTATAATTAAAGAAGAGTAAATTTGAAAATACCTTCACATATCAACTAACCAACAATATTTTTTGGTACGCGTCAATTCGTTAAAGATGCTTCATAATAGTATACTGAGGGAGTTGTGACTTTAGGAGAGTCAATTTACCAATGCTCACATCCAATTTAATAATACCAAATTTCATATAGTTATATTAAAAATGTAAATAACGAAGGGAGTAATTTTATTTATTTATAACTAAAGTAGATAAATTTTTTCTTGTAATATGAAGGAAAAAAATGTAGAGGGGTAAGATTGACTTTAAGAATAAAGCAGATGATTTTATTTTTATTTTTTTAGCAAGAAAAGCAGATGATTCAACAATAGAAGTAGAGCAGGAAAACAAATAGACATGGACAAACGTCGCTAATATAGAAATAAATAAATAGATAAGACAAATGAAAAGCTAGGTTACCTACTTCAATGAGCATGTCAGGTATGACGAGCATTTAACTCATGGACTTTCCCATTTTGTCTTCTTATTACCGAATCTTCTGTTTATATTGTATTTGCATTAATAATAACCACTTCAGAAACTAAGATATTATACTATAATGAGGTTAAGATTAAGATTAATTAATTGGTGATACGTGATAGTATTTAATTTGATCAAAGATCCTACCTTCCCACTCTATCTTTAGGTCATCTCTTGGACGAGTTCAATATTTTAACGTCTTGAAACTTCATCTCCTGCGAGTTTTTCCATGTCATCTATGTTGTTTTTCTCTTTTGGTTCCCTTTCTTGTCCATAGGATTCATTTTATTAAGAATCGAATTTCTAAATTAAGAAGGGAGAATTACAATAAAATTTTTTTAAAAAATAATTACTAAAAAGTCCTAATAACACTACTACAAAAAAAGAGTTTTCATAACGCTAATTTATAGTGATTATTAGAAAAAACATTGTAAAAAATATAACGATAACATTTCTGTAATTATAGGCGTACTTTTAATGGTAGTTTTTTAAATATCCACTGTAAAAAATAATTTTAACAGCAGTTTTTAAAATAACCGCCATAAAAAGTTTATCAGAATTTTTAAATCCATCACGCGATAGTTTTCACTTTTCAAATCAGAGCTCATAGTCCTCTATATCATCCTCACTCGATTTTCTCCCTCCTCCTACATTTGTCGACATTTATCCATTACTTCTATCATTTCTGTCATGTTCTTCCATTATCTTCGTTGTTGCTATTGCCGTCGCCATCTCCTCATCCTCTTTATTCTTATTAATGAGTTTTTCACCTCTATTCTTTCTGTGGATTTCATAGTTTTTGTGGTTTGATATGATCATTTTCTTTGGTTAAAAATATGATGTTTAATATGAGTTTAAAGAGATTTAATTTTTAGCAGATCTGAGTCTTTGATTTTATCTTTATTAAATCTTAGTGGCTTCGATCTGGTGGCTGAAGGTGAAGCTAAGTGACGCTATTACGGTGGGAAAAGAATCTATGTTTACTCCATCAGAATGCTTTTAACTGGTGAGAGATTTCCTTTAAGGCTTTGTTCTCCAGTTCCATCCTGATCAGTAGGATGAAACGTAGCCTAAAAAAACAAAAAATTTTCACGATAGTTATTTACATAACCTTCGTGAAAAGTCACATACCACGGTGGTTCTTAAAACGCTGTGAAATCCTCTACATTTTACTTCGATGGTATAGACATCGGTCTCAAAACCGCTGTAAAAAGCTCATTTTAACCGCCGTTAAATGTTTTTTTTTGTAGTAGTGATAACAACGTAATCAGTCTGTAACGACAAGTTCTAACCTAAGAAATAATAACTTCTGGATTTGCTTTATAATTATTTTCCTTTCTTATGTAATTTTCTCAATTAATAATTTTTTTCATGACAACTATTTACACTATTTATTATTAGTTTACAATTTTAACATCATTGAGTTTTAAAGATAGTAACTTTCTTGACATAATATTCCTCATCTATAAAACACTAATTTGATCGAAAGTTGACACCTGCCACATACCTCTTTGCCTTTATCTGTAGTCCTGGTTCAACTCATACTTTTAGAAATGGCTAACGTTTCCTTTTTATCTCAAGTTTTTGAAGGCTTTAATTTCACAGTTGTTAGAGGTGTTTATATTATAGCAATTTTAGTCTTCAATATAAGAGTAGAATGTTCTTATAAAATAAACAATTAAATGACAAGCAGATATGGATAATCTAGATTTATTTATGCATATATATGATGTTCACTACAGTATATATCTAGATACAAGCTCAACAATCACATGATAAGAGAAAAGCACAGGAAAGGAGAGAAATCACCAGAGGAAGAACAGAATATTCAAAGAGGACGAGAAGGCACAGAAAGAGAGAACCAGAGAATCATCACATATTGCACACCCTTCCCTCTCTCCTCTAACGGCATATATCCTTCAGTCATTCCTTAATTTCCATGTGAGCCTCTTCTCATGTGTGCTACAATGTGGGCCGTTTTCTTCCTAAAGCCTCGTTGTCTCCTACATCAGCTCATTCTGTCCAACCTGGCCCACATCATTTTGATTCACTCCTTGGCCCATAACATTACCCCCCATTCGAAAGAGACCTTGTCCCCAAGGTCAAAGGCTAGGTAACATTGCTGAAAATCAGAGACAGTCTCCCAAGTAGGAGCAGGAAGTCCTTCCCACTGATCAAAACTTGCAGTATGAGGTGGTTCCCTTGTTGAAGCATATTGGAATCCACAATAGCCATGGGTTGGATGATAAGGCCTTCTGGTTGTAAGATTAAGTTCTTCAACAATGGGACCTTTGTTACACTGCACAGCAGAACCCAATCCATCGTCAGTCAAGTAGAATTTCACCAGCTACAACGTTTGGTTCATATGGATGCTGTCTTAGAATTTTTTATGATGCAGTGTGACACGATGAATGCGAGTGATCTTGATCTGCCCACAGATATTCCTGAAGATATGAAGGCTCTGTTACATGGATACAAGCAGGTGTTTGCCAAACCTATGGGTTTACCTCCACTAAGCACTCATGAGCATCATATAATACCGTAAGAAGGTGTTGGGCTTGTCAAGATGAGACTGTATCAGTATCCCTTCGATTAGAAAGATGAGATTGAGTGGATGGTCATGGAATTACTGCAAGAGGGTTTGTTACAACCTAGCAATAGCCCAGTCTCTACACTAGTTATTCTTGTCAAGAAGAAGGATGAAGGATAGTACCTGGCGGTTCTATGCGGATTACAAAGCCCTTCATGCCGTCACCGTAAAGGATTCATTTCCTATGCATGCCGTGGATGAACTATTGCATGAACTTGGTGGGTCTTCTTATTATTGGAAGCTTGATTTGCGTTCCAATTATCACTAGGTTTTGATGCATGTTGTGGATAGGGAGAAAATGACTTTTTGAACACATCATGGGTTGTATGAGTAGCTTGTAATGCCTTTTGGGCTTACCAATGCCCCAGCTACATTTTAGGCTCTTAAAAAAAATTAATACAAACTTGCACAAAAATGGTTGGAAGATTGAATTAATAAGAGCCTAAATGTAACTGGGGTGTTGGTCAGCTCAAAAAGCATTACGAGCCACTCATATAATGCATGATGTGTCCAAAAAGTCGTTTTCTCCCTATCCATAACATACATTAAGACTTGGTGATAACCAAGACGCAAATCAAGCTTCGAGTAATAAGAGGACCCACCAACTTCATCCAATAGTTCATCCAAGGTAGGCATAGGAAATGAATCCTTTATGGTGATGGCGTTAAGAGCTCTGTAATCCACACAGAACCGCCATGTACCATCCTTCTTCTTGATAAGAATAACTGGTGCAGAAAATTGGCTATTGCTAGGTTGCATCAAATGCTCTTGCAATAATTTCATGACCATCCGTTCAATCTCATCTTTCTGACTGAAGGGATATTGATACCATCTTACCTTGATAAGGCTAACACCCTTTTGCAGTATTATATGGTTCTTGTAAGCCCTTAGTGGAGATAAACCCGTAAGTTTGGCAAACACCAACTTGTATCCATGTAA